TTGCCTATTCCAGCTTCTGGTAGCCCCAGGTATTCCTTGGCTTGTGGCAGCATCACTCCAGTCTCTGGCTTCAGTTTCACATGGCTGTTTTCTCTCTGGGTCTGTGTTTCATTTTCCCTTTTCTTACAAGGACATTAGTCATATTGGATTAAGGGCCCACTCCAATGACCTCATTTTAACTTTATTACAGCTGCAAAGTCCCTATTACCAGTGAGGTCACCTTCACAGGTATTGGGGATTAGGACTTCAGCATATTGAAGGGTATATTTTGGAGGGTACAATTCAACTCATAACAACAATTAGATGGCCCAGAGTAGGCCTTCTCATGATCAATAAGAAGGAGCAATTAATGCTGAACATCTAAGGTGCACCTTCTCCTGTACATGGTAATATTTCTGAAAGAGTATAGATCATAAGATGTATAAGTACATTGATTCATGCAGGGTTTTTCCCCTCAATATCTGTTATTAAATAGATGGTTCATCTCACATCTTAGAACTGTACAAGCACAGTATAAGTTGTTTTATAAGAAGACACAAAAAACCTCAACATGTCAATGATTGGTAGGAAAATGGGAATGTGGGTACCCACAGATAATGTCTGCAGATATTAGAAACTTGGAAAGAAATGGCCATTGTTTCTGCAGACACAAGTTGCCTGGTTTGAGGCAAGGGATGAGGAAGAACTGCTTTTTTGTCTGTGCCCTGTGACTGTCCAACATCAGCATTCATTTCATAACCATTGCCTGAGCACCTACTGCATACCGGGATCCAAGGATGCAGGGTCATAGTGGGGAAGCATCATGGGACTCTAGAACTGAGTCCTCCAAGGGCAGAGAGCTGAGAGAGCACACGCACAGCTGCCTGTAGGCAGAGTGGGGTGGTGGGAAGGGAAGGGAGGATGGTTGCAGACAACACTGTTCTCCAAAATGGTGCACCTGCCTCCACTCATTGACTTCTGCGCTTTTACAACTGTTGTTTACTCTGCCTGGAACCTCATTTCCTCTCTTCCTACCCTGCAATGTTATTTTTTCTTTCAGATTCAGCTCGGCGGTTCCCACATCCCTAATGCTTATCGTGCACAATGCTGTGTTTTCATTATTCATATCTGTGTGTTCCCAGTGCCTTCCACAGCACCCGGCACAAAGCAGACACTCTGGAAGATATATGTCAGATGAATGCGACTAAAGGAGTGAAGGTTATAGCCTACCCAAGATGAAAGGATCCATAAGGGGAAGGCAAGATGTGGAAGAGTGCATTTGATTAGTAGGGCAGAGGGCCCCAGAGGAATGTGTCAGAAATCCAATGTGGAAACACAAAGGGAGAAAGACAAGCAGTGAGTGGAGATTCAAGAATGAGAGCAGGTTGGGAACAAGCAGAAAAAGGAATCCATGTGGGCAGCTGGTTGGTGACCTTTGGCAAGCATGGGCCTTTTTGTCTGCCCCATGTGCTTGGCCACATGCACTTGACCTGGGCTTTGCATACACTGCACCCTGGAGGAATGTGGCACAGCTGGGAAGGCTTCCTGGAAACCCTGGCATCAGGAGAGGTCCAGAGAAGCAGCAAAGGGATACCGTGGTGGTTTGCAGGCCCAGGCAAATGCTCCCCATTCTGCCTTCCAACAGGAAATGGCCCGCTTCCTTTAGTAGAAAGCTTGCTCCATGAGGGATGATAAACCACCCACTCCCAGGGCTACCCTGGGTAACAGGAGGTCCACTGGGGCCTTGGGATTGTCCTCCCTCCCTCTTCTCTCTCAGTAACTGTAGTTTGATACCTGAGGGAAGACTCCCTGAGGAGGTGGCTCCTTCTGGGCTCTGGAAGGCCATGGGGGTTGCTGCTAGTCCAAGCAGAACTATAGCTACTACCTCTGTGGTCCCTTCGGTTGCCTCCCCGCAATCTCTTCCTCCAGTTCTCCAAGCCCCTAAATCTAGCCCTGTATTTAACCAAATCCCTGTCTAGACTCCAGACCTACTCACCTCCCAGGGAGATCTCAATGTGCATCCAAGTTAGGCTAAAGTTGTCTGAAACAACGGGTTCTGTCAGGAAGGGGGAGATTGCATTCTGCAGGTGGATTAATTCCCAGCATCTTCAGCAATTCTCTAACTGGTGGCATTCAAAGTGTGGACTTTAGGGAACCTAGAGTGGGGAATTCCAGACTGAGAAAGCCTTGCAGGCTGGCACCTCCATGTTTCCTGGCTAAAGAACTTGTCAATCTGACCTCCCAGAAGCTCTTTATAGTCCCATAGACCTTGCAGGGACTGGATCCCAGCAGGCCCTCCCTCTACTGGAGCAAGGGTGAAGCTGGTGTTGAGTTCGAATCTACTAATTCCACACTCTCTCCATTCTACTGCTGCAGCCAGGGAAGGAGCCTTGGTGGTGTGGAGAGCTGTTTCACTGCCATTTTCTTCCCCTATGCCAGGTCTCCCCAGTCCAAGTGTCTAAATGCACCAGGATTCTCTTCACCAGGGCCTTGCTCTTCAGAGGACAGCCATCCTATATCACCACATTGGAGCTAATGTGAATATTGAATTGGTCAAGCCACCAACTTATCAGAAAGGTGGTACAAATCCAAGTTAGTCTTTAAAACTATGGTCAGATATACACTAATGCTTCTGGAACACTGTAACCTAAGCCCACCCCAAAGTCACAAGAATATGCTTTCTGGCTTATTTGGGGGTCATGCTTTTTCAATCCAGAGCCATTTCTTGCCTTTGAGTGAAGAACACTGGGAGCCCCTAGTAAGATAGCCCTGGAATTTTGTGGCAAGTCAAGAAAAAGATAAAGTCAAACTCTGCTAGTGGAGATGTGGGTGTCATCTTCTCCACTAGTAATACTTACTCTTGATATGTCACCTTTCTTCTGAGAACGTAGAAACATTTCATAAGTGGTAATTAAGCTTCCCAACAATCCTGGTGCCTGCATATGGCCCAGGATCTTTCTCTAATGTCAGGATCACTTGTGGGTCTGTCTACACAGGTCATTGAGGCTTTGGACCTCCATCTAGGGTGGGACACTGAGTGAGGGCTCTGAAGTGAGCAGCGGGTTGTCAGTAGGGTCTTTTGCACTTGCTGGAGAGAGGACCAGATGGACATCTGGTTTCTGGCTTTTTTTTTTTCCCAGTAGCGTACCGGGCTGGGCTTCTAGAAGCAGTCCAGGTAATTCACCTCTTGAAGACTGGGGATGTAAGGCCTCGGGAAAGTCCAGTTCTTCCTGTATTTCCTCACAGACAGGTTCGTATGTTCCTCTTGGCAATTTACCTTGTCAGAGCTAAAGAACACACTGACAAGTAATTTGTGCATCAGTGCCCTGTTGCCTTTGCTAGATAGCTTCTAGGGCCTGGTCAACTCTGGAAGAACTGCTAAAACTGAACTTGTGGGCCTGTAGAGCGGTGGTTCAGCTCCAGGACTCCCTGAGATCTCACTAAAATAGCATCTGCCCTCAAGGATCTGGACTCTGAGAAGCCTGCCTGGTCTCTATCTATGAAGCTCTTGAAAGGACAACGGTGCCTGTTATTCAAGTGTCTGAACTGGCAGACCATCTTCTCATGCCTGCTTGGGGCAAGGTCACTGGTAATGAAGATGGTGCTGTCCAATCTGACCACTGGCAAGCATCTCTTTCTAACGGTGTGGACTTCAGGTTCAGCTAGACCCTGAGTTGCATCTGTGCTCCTCCACCCTTACTTGCTGGCTTGCTCAGGGTCTGTTTTACAAGCTTCTCTGTACCTTAGTTCCTCGTCTGTATTTGAGTGTTTATTGAGAACCTCCTCTGGGCTACACATTGGACTTTACCCAGATGATGGGAAAGGAAGATGGGTGAAAAAGTCTGGGACAGGGTCCTGGTGCTTCAGCAGATGAAAACTTGATTTGGGTTACTCATCCTTAAAATCAGCTCATATAATAATATCCATTACCCAGTGGGTGTTGGGAAGCTTAATTACCACTTATGATATGTTTTTACGTTCTCAGAAGAAAGGTGATACATCAAGGCCAAGTATGACTATAGCAATTGTGATTCTCTCAAGCTGCCCTTGGGGCTAAACAGTATAAAATTGTCATTTGTGAAACTCTGCTATTGCAACAAAGGATGACTACTATCCATAATGATACTAGACTAATGTTTAAGACATTGCTGTGCTCATGAAAACTTAAATCTGCCCGAAGTGAAGATGGTAAACTAGGTCACCTGCTATGAGCTTGTCTTGCTCTTGGATTCCAAAAGCAAACAAAATCCTCGAGGGGCTGACACCTGAAAGAGTACCAGATATCAACAGCATTCTTTGAACACCTAGCGTGTACCAGGCAGTGTGTTATGCACATGATCTCACTGAATCTTCCTAACACGCTTAGAAAAGAGGATTTTATCTTTCCATTCTCCAGAGGAGAAAAACTGAGACTCAAAGACGTTGACTTGCCCAAGGAAGACGAACCTGGTACCTGTAAGTAGGGCAGCCTGGAGTGGAGGCAGACGTCAGTGTGAAGTGACCACAAAGTTTAGACAGGATCCAAGGAGGCTCTGAATTGGGTTAGAAAAATGAGGATGATTTCCACGTCTCCTGCTTGAATATCCCCCTACGAATAGGCCTGCTGCTAAGGGAAAAAGGGAACCCAGGAGGGGAAGGCGGTTGGGACGGGAAGTGACTTTGGGGCTAGGTAGCCTGAGTTGGGAATAGCCAGCATACCTGGACATGCTGCCTTGGGAACTGGAAGGGAAGCTGGGACCCAAACTTTGGAGTCGTTGACAGATGTGACAGGTGAAGCCTGGGATGACATCGCCAAAACGCAACGTCTCACTCGTTGTCACTACTCCCAGGGCTCAGTTGTCACTGGGGAAAATCTCCAGAAGGTAGCGCGGGCCAAGGTGACAGGTGTCTGCCAAGACCTGTCCGCCAGACTCCTCGGCGGCGCGCTCCCTCCCTGCAGGCCTTCAGCCCGTCAGTATCCCCTTCCTCGGGGCCCTGCTCACTCCCAGCCTCCATCCCCCTGCCATCTCCTCTCCTCAGCGGGTCGCGTGCAGACCCAGGCATGGGGGCCTCTCAGCGCTGTGCGATCTGGGTGGGGCTCCGGACGCATGCGCGGCCGCCGTACGGAAGCCCGGAAGGAGGGGCAGGGGGCGGTGGCTCAGGTTTCTCCGGGCGGTGGCGGTGGCGGCGGCGGCGGCGGCGGCGGCGGCGGTGGCGGTGGCGGGAGCAGCAGCGGGGACGCGGCTGGAGCTGGCGCCATGAACCCGCTGTAAGGCGCAGGCTGTGCAGCACGGGCTGCGGGGGAGGAGGAGGAGGACGCCGCGGTGAAGTTCTCCGCCATGAACCTGAGGGGCCTCTTCCAGGACTTCAACCCGAGGTGAGGCGGCGTCGTTGGCGTCCCCGGGAGTCCGCGCTGCGGGCTCGGGCATTTGCTGGTGTTCGGCTCCAGGGAGACACGGCGGGCGAGATGCTGCAGCCGGAGGACCCAGGCGCCTGCCCAAGCCTCCCTGCGGGTGCAAGCTGTCCCCAGGCAAAGCAGTCGGCCTCGGCGCCCGCCCGCTTCCTCCTCCCGTGCCCGGTGCCTTCAGCCCCTGCCCGGCCGCGAGCCCCGTCCTGCCCCAAGGGAGCCCCATTCCTCTCTGCTTGCTGTCCCTCATTGGTGTCCCAATTTCTTCCTCTCGGTTCCATCCTCTTCTACCCCGCTGTGGGCCCTCCATTCTCCGCGTCAGGGCCGTCTCACTTGACCCAACACCCCTACCCCCACCCCAGCTGTTTCCTCCAGTTCCGCGCAGTCCTTGGGGTTTTCCTTGGGTTTATGCCCATCCCTCTCTTGTTTGCTTCTTTGTTGAACGGATACCTGCAACAGTGTTGAATACTTGGAGTCAGTGTCAGGGTATGGCAATGCCTTATATAATGCATTTCTGGGTAAGCCTGATCATTTTCCATACTCATTTTCTCATCAGTCTTCACTACAAGTTTATTTGCAGGAAGTAGATATTGCTGGCCTTCTTTTCCAGCTGGGGAACACCCAGTGGACAGTGTGGAGAAAACACTGGCTAAGAACTCAAGCGCCTGTCCTTGCACTTGCCCGACTGTTTTGTAACTGTTCTTTCCCCCAGGCTGTGAGCTCCCTGAAGTTGAGACCATCTCCTGCTCATCTCAGTGTCCCCAGCGCCTCCCACCCACCGTATCTGGCATATAAAATGTTTGTGGAACTAAACTGAGCCCTAAGACTTGGATTGGAGACCAGGCCATATGTAACTGGGTGATTCTCTGCCCTTCTTTGGCCCTCCTGTAAAATAAGGAGTTGGCCTAACTGATCACTTAAGTGCACTGCTCTCCGAAGGGAGTATGCATTTCCCTTATTTGCTAGTTGGGAAGACATGCGCTCAGTGAACATTTGTGTGCTGTAACCTATGCTAGGTGCTGTAGATGCTGGCGGTCTCAGCATAGGGGTGAAGAAGGGCTTGTACACTTAAGATGCCTTACAGTACTGTGCAGTGCTGTACTATGGGGGTCAACTCTGGGGACCGTTGTCTTGGCTGCTTGTTGAGGATGAAAGGAAGTTTTAGGGAAGTATTTGTATGTTGAGGGTGCAGTCTCCCTAGGGATGGTGACATTTTAACTTGTGAGTCATTGTGACTTTCTATGTGCTCTTATTCCACTTTGAGTTCATGTTCTGGTCTGCAGTGCCAGTGTCTCTAACACAGTGCAGACATTATCATTGCTGGCCTGGAAGGCATAGAGGAGGTAACAGAACTAACTGCAGTCCGTTCCTCTGCTGCATCAAGGGGTTAGGATTGGTCTGCAGGGTAGTAGGGTTGGTGCTGTAGCTGGACAAGCCATATGTGTCTTCTATTTGGAGATGGTGATAAGAAAGTTAAGTAAAAACTGAATTGTTTTGTGCCCTTGGGCAACTCACTCATCTATTGTTTTATCTGTAGAATGAGTATAATCTCTCAGCAGGGTAAGGAGGCCAATTAATGATTGATTACAAAGTGCCTTACAAATAGAAAGCTACATGACTTGTTTGCAAGGTGACAGATAATTCAGAAGCCACAAGAAACTGCCTCAAGTGATCAAACAGGCTAACAGAGTTACCAAAGCAAAATAGTGCTGCACTGATATTACCTTTAACCATTTTTTCCTTTAGCCCTTTCCCCCCCAAAAAAATTAGTATATGAAATTACAATGAAATACCTGGTATCTAAGCAGATTTATAGTAATTATATCAACATATTTATCAATATCTTAATTCTACCTGGATTAAAATGTATTTCTGCCTGAAAAGTTTAAAGGTCTTTTATACTGTGCCATTTTCCTGATTCATTGTTGCCAGAGGTAGTGAGTTCCTTAATTTTACAGATATTTCAAGAGGACATTGGCCAGGTATTACTGGTAAATCAGATTTGTTTTTTTAGCTGGTAGTGTTTCATGTCTCCTGAGCACTCCTAGTTTTTGACAATGTGCTTTAGTCCCCTTGAATGCTGAGGAAGGCCTTCCCAATAGCTAGAAAGAAAACTGAGGGGTGTACACAGGAAGCTACCTTATGCTGGGGATTCAAACCTTGATGCTACTGCTTTGCCCCCTGCCTCTAATTTTGAATCCATTCAATATCTCCCTCCTACCCCAGAACCTTGTCACCTACTGTTCTCTTTACCAGGAATGTTTCCCTCTCTTTTCCTCTCCTCTAGGCCTAGTGAACTGCTATTTATCCTCACTTGGCACTTGCTAAGGGAAGCTCTCCTGACTTCCCTGACCAGATTTACTGCTCCCTGTTTCTACGGTTCCTGTAGTATTTACTACTCCTCCATCATAGTACATATTTGTACCCTTGTGTCTGTCTGGATTCTTATTTGATTAATACCTGCCTCCCCACTAAACTTTAAGTTCTATGGGGTCAAGGCTGTGACTGTGTCAGTATTGTAGCCTGCATACTTGGAATAGTACCTGGCTCAATAAATATTTTTTGAATAAATAAGTGGATAACTCTCCAGAGCCTATAAGAGAAATCTAGAGCTGCTGCCTTCAATCACTGCTTTCCTGGTGGTCTGTGGCCTGGTTCTCTTTCTTCTCACACTCTTCCCACCTTCAGAGTGCAGCCATTCCATTGGAGAGATGGGAAATAACATGGCACTAAGGCAGAATATGGCTATATTTACTTTGAAGAGTATGTCTTTGTTACAGAAATAGTCACTGTCATGGTTTGGTGGGTCCCAAGGCATGGGTCATGGCTCCAGATCCCCTTTCCAACCTTTTGGATCTTGGTAAGTCTGAACCCATTGCCGTGTTGGCAAGGCTCTGGAAACTGCAGTGACAGAGAATGATTCACGGGTGTCAACACTCAGATGTACAGGGCTGCCAGCTGACCCACTCTGCCTATTTCCATCTGGCACAGAACTGGTTGATCATGAACTTCTTTTCATAATTGCTTTTTAGTTGTGCAGGTTAACACATGCTGAAACAGATGTACTGGACCCACAAACAAGTCCTTCCTTGAATGCCTGAGGCTTCCTAACAGTGAAAGAGCCCTGTTCTTAGAATAGGCAAACTGATTCTGAGGCATTTTGGGTGGTAGGGATCTGGTAGTAGGTAGCATTAGGTGGGCTCCCCGCACTCACCACGGAGCCTTGAAATTTTCTGCTACTTTGGGGGAGTTGCTGGTTCAGAGAAGGCTCTTCCACCCTCGCAGCCATGTGGCACTGGAAGGCTGTGAGAACTCTACTGGGCCTTCTTAGTCATCTGTGTGGTGAGCTCCTGATGAGAGTGTGGTATATCCCTCAGGTGGGCTAGACTGGAACAAAGGCTGAGAAATGTTGCTCCAGGGGTTCCGTCATGTGGGCATGGGGTACTGATGAGATCAGTAGTGTTTGGAAACTTCTGTATGCTGCATCTTCAAAAGACATTCTGTAGTCCATATAAGTTATCTTGTACCTTGTTTGAAGTCAGGAAAAAGGAATGCGATTGCTGGTAATATAGTTCACTAAAGGCAGCTACCTGGCCTCTAATAGTTATTTGCAAAGTATATTTAGAACATTGATTCATCAAACATCTCCTAGGTTCCTATCTCATGCCAAGCGATGTACTAGGTGCTCTAAGTACAAAAATAAATGGAATATAGTCCTCCTCTCAATGCATAAGCCTAGTGGAAGAAGCAGAAATGAAAGGGAAATAAGAATTCAATAGAGTATGAGGCATTACAGAGAAAGAAAACAAATGTCTTGGAAGTACAAATGGCAGAGCCACTAGTTCTGTCCCGAGCAGGCAGGGAAGAGTCTATAATGGAAATAACTTTTGAGCTAGGTTTTGAATTGAGCTAGTCTTTTGAGCCAGACTTTTGAGCTAAAATTGTAGGGTTGTCATCAGACCAGAGAGTTGGAAGGGTATCTTGTGGGGAAAAGAAAGATCAGATTGTTACTGTATCTATGTAGAAAAGGAAGACAAGAAACTCCATTTTGATCTGTACTAAGAAAAATTGTTTCTGCTTTGAGATGCTGTTCACCTGTAACTTTAGCCCCAACCCTGTGCTCACAGAAACATGTGCTGTAATGAATCAAGGTTTAATGGATTTAGGGCTGTGCAGGATGTACCTTGTTAACAATGTGTTTGCAGGCAGGATGCTTGGTAAAAGTCATCGCCATTCTCCATTCTCGATTAACCAGGGACACAGTGCACTACGGACAGCCGCAGGGACCTCTGCCCAAGAAAACCTGGGTATTGTTCAAGGTTTTCCCACACTGAGACAGCCTGAGATATGGCCTCATGGGAAAGGAAGGGCCTTATGACACCCATAAAGGGTCTGTGCTGAGGAGGAGTAGTGAAAGAGGGAGGCCTCTTTGCAGTTGAGATAAGAGGAAGGCTTCCGTCTCCTGCTTGTCCCTGGGAATGGAATGTCTGGGTGTAAAGCTGACCATTCCCATTCGTTCTATTTGGAGATAGGAGAAAACTGCCCTGTGGCTGGAGGCAAGATATGCTGGCAGCAATACTGCTCTGTTACTCTTTGCTACACTGAGATGTTTGGGTAAAGAGAAACATAAATCTAGCCTATGTGCACATCCGGGCACAGCACCTTTCCTTGGACTTATTCATGATACAGATTCCTTTGCCCACATGTTTCCCTGCTGACCTTCTCCCCACCTGTTGCCCTGCTACACTCCCCTTGCTAAGATAGTAAACATAATGATCAGTAAATACTGAGGGAACTCAGAGGCTAGTGCTGGTGCGGGTCCTCCATATGCTGAGCACCAGTCCCCTGGGCCCACTGTTCTTTCTCTATACTTTGTCTTTGTGTCTTGTTTCTTTTCTCAGTCTCTTGTCCCACCTGATGAGAAATACCCATAGGTGTGGAGGGGCTGGCCCCTTTCCGTATCTCAGAAG